CCACAAATTATTTTAACTTCTAGTACCTACATCAACAAAAATCTAAAAGCCATGTAAAATTAATTGTAGGAATATAATTTAACTATATATCCAAAATATTATTGCACATTGTGAACAACATAGTGGTCACTGTTTGGGCATTACAAGCCTAGCTGACCTGCAGATTGGATCATGATTTCTCAGAATAATCTGGATAACTTGATTATAACCCTTGGAATTTATTTATTTATTATTAACAATAATTTATAGTTTATTTTTACATCATTTTGTGCCTTTTTCCATCTCAGTTGTAATCCCCGTGGGCTTCCCATCACCAAATTATTCATGTGCCATCTCCATAGTCCAGTGCATCTTTGCTCCCGTTCCCCACTTCATCCCCCTAAAATATCTCTATTATATAGTTGTTCATTATGATTATTATTTTCTCACTTGGTCTGTTATATTCCTGCTATGAGTGAAACCATCTGGTATTTTTCCTTTTCTTTCTGGCTTACTTCACTAAGCATGATCTTTTCCAGCTCCATCCATGTTGTTGCAAAAGGCATGTGTTTATTTTTTTGGTTGCTGAGTAATATTCCATTGTGTATATGTGTCACATCTTTTTAATCCAGTCATCTGCTTTGGGCATTTGATAACCCTTAGAATTTATTTTTAATAACAACCATAGGACCAACCTGCTATGTGCATGACTTAGATTATAATATATCAGAATGATAAACTGATAAAATAAATCTGGCCTGGAGGAAAATAATATCAAAGATACAAATTCTACACTTTAATGCACTCCTCCTATATACTAAGGACAAAAATACATTAATTCTCTCTGGTGTTTCATTATTTTGCCTGCTTCTACAATCTAAGCCTTCATAGAACAATTTAATGATCTGAAAATGTTGTTGTATCCCTTGGGTATTATTGGGTCTGTTTTAAAGAGTGAGATCGTTACACCAAGTATTTTAGAGTAGATCTTCATGCTTTTATAAATACTTGACTTAAGCAGACACATTTACACAGCACTGTATCTCAAGGTAATGCATGGCAAACTCAGTTGGAAGGGTCTTAGCTTTTGCTGTTGAGAGGTGGCCAATTTCCCTTGGATTTCAGCTTTTGCAAGCTCTTTTGTTCCTACCCTACTACTAAAAGGATCTTAGAGAAGAGAAAATGTGACTCAGTTATTATTTTCTCCCTGAACATTTTTTTCAAAGACTCATATTTCTATGCATATAAGAACTGGGGTATAGGCCAGATGTATGAGTGGTGAGAGGATTCACCAAAGAGAGAGTTGGGAGCAGAACAGACAGGTCTACTGAACTACACTGCTGAGAGGAGCAGCAGACAAAACAGGAGAGGTCTGCTGTGCCATGTGGGTCACCTCCCTGGCCAAACAAACTGGGCTGGAGTGGCTGCTGATAGCTTCACAATGTTGCACTTAAGCCCATTGCACCACCAGAGGGCCCAGCCTTCTCCCTGAACTCTTTTTTTTAAAAAAAGATTTATTTATTTGTGCATACAGAGCTGGGGTACAGACCAGAGGCTCAAGGGCGGTGAGAGGCTTCACCAGAGACAGAGCGGGGAACAGAACAGGCAGAGAGACGAAGTACACTGCTGAGGGGAGCAGCGGGCAGTTCAGGAGAGGTCTGCCACGCCATGTGGTCACCTCCAGGGCAGGGGGGAATCGAACTCATGCGGAAGTGGCTTTAGCTTCTCAGTGCTGTGCTTTAACCCGCTGCGCCAGCAGGGAGGGCCTCTCCCTGAACTCTTAAGGGGGCTGATATCCACTTGATCATCAGCTTGGGAAATATTTCAGTGTTTATTCTCTGACAAAGGACCCCATAGATTACTTCCAACATTAAAGTGATTGACACTGAGAACTTGACCAAGAACTATAGGACCAATTTCCAGCATTACAGCGAAGTAGTTACAATTATTTTGGAGAGGACTAGAAGTAAAGTTGTCATTGATAACCCATACTTAGTCTTGTTCAGTTTCGGAGTCCAATTCATTCATTAAATCAACATTTATTTAGTACTCACTATGTACCCAGGCAGTGGGTACATAGCATTGGAAATACATAATATAAGGAAATCTCAGCGCTTGTGGCATTAACATCTAGAGAGGGGAGACAGAAAATATAGTCTATTTTACCTTAGAGAGCAGTGGATGCTGTGGTGGGAAAGGCAGGGAAAAAGATAGAATGTGTGTTACAAGAGAATAATAAGATCACACTGGTCTAGTGTGGGGACTTGGGCACAGTTGAATACAGTTGTTGATGTAGATAAAGAAAGGAGCAGACGACACCTGGAAAGAAGCTTAGTTAGAATGGTAAGTGTGATAGTCCTGAGAAGGAGAGCACCTATTTGACAACTTCAGGGCACAGCAAGAAAGGCAGTGGGGTTAGAACAAAGTGAGCATGGAGGAAAATGCAAACAAATGATACCTACTTTATGTGGGAGTAGGAAGGGTAAATGGTAGACTGATGGTCTCTTGGAAGACTTTGGCTTTTACCCTGAGAAAGCTGAGGAATTGTTGGAGGTTGTGAATAGAACAGAGACATGATGTATAAACAAAGGACCAGTCTGTGATGCTAATAGATGGTAGTTCATTGGAATAATCCCGGTGAGACCTGAAGAGCACCTGACACAGGGCCAGGGTAGCAGAGTGATGATGAACATTGAATTCTGATAAGTTTTGAAGCTTGGGGTGAAGAGGTTTCCCCAAGTGAATGCGTGTTAGTTGTGAGAGCAAGAGAGGAACCAACACTGATTTACTTCCCAAAGACTACTCTGATTGATATGCAGTTGAAACTCTTTCCATTACCCTCCATCCACGTAGCCTGGAAGTTGATCTATCAAAGCTCCCACCAGACACTCTAGATGGTGTGCAAGACATTTGAGGATAGATCTAGACACTCTAGACGGTGTGAAGACACTTCATGGCCAAGAAGCTACCCCTCAGTCTCTACCCCCAACACCTATTCCACCAGTTGAGTTATTATGTTTACCAAAAGTTGTTGACTTCTTTCCAAAACTCTATTATTCTGATTTCAATTTTAATAATTAAATAGGATATAAAATGATGGAACATGAATTTGAAAACAAGGCATTGAAAGCTTTGAAAGGGTTAATGAAAGTAAGCCTTAAAAATTACTACATAGGGCCCTCCCTGGTGGCACAATGGTTGAAGCACAGCACTACTAATCTAATCATGGCAGCTTCTGTATGAGTTCCATCCTGGCCAGGCAGGTGATCCACATGGCACAGCAGACCTCTCCTATCTTACCCGCTGTTCCTCTCAGCAGTGTACTTCTTTGATCTGCTCCCCACTCTGTCTCTGTTGAATCCTCTCACCACCCTTGCACCTCTGGCCTGTACCCCAGTTCTAAATGGATAAATAAGTAAATCTAAAAAAAAAAAAAATGACTGCATGTGAGGACCTCCCTGGTGGCCTATGGGTAGGTCTCAGCACTGCCAACCTGAAGGCTGACCACAATGGCCTAAGTTCAGTCCCAGCCAGGGAACTAACCCCCATGGTGTAGCAGACCTTCCTTGTTTTGCTCACTGTCCCCTCAGCAGTGTATTTCATTGTATCCACCTGTGCTCCTCCCCAACTCTGTTTCTGGTGAATCCTCTCACACCCTCTCCCTGCATCTCTGGACTGTACCCCACTTCTTCTACGCAAAAATAAATAAAATTACTGAGTATGAAATAGTTGTAAAAATAAAAGGAAAAAACTTTAATATAAAATTATTATGTCCTCAAATTAGTTTGCAAATTTATAAATTCTTCCTTTATATATACCCAAACTAAGGATTGTAGTTTTGAAGATAGGTAATACAGAGGTGATGATGCTGACCTATCATCAGATACAGGCTAAAGGATGGCCCTTGGCTTTTATGTGAATATTGACAGTGTATGAGTAGATGGTCACAATATGACTTATCGTCTATTCCCCCTACATAAACTGACAACTGCCTCTTCAGATCACATTAAAGGTGATTTTTTGATTCATTTTACTGATAGTTTACATACTTTAAAAATGTTAATAGGGACAAGTGATTATCTGGTACATATTGGGGGGCAGATCTAGCTTCTGGGTTTTCTTTTTTAATGCTTTGTCACTTAAAATCAACCTTTAAAATAGATAAGGGGTAAGAATATACAGCTTGACAGTTCAGAATTCAATCACAATGCAGACTTTAAAAACTATAATACTATCACTAAATAAATCATTGGATCTTCTCTAAACAACAAAATACTACTAAAAATTTTCACTGTTAGTTTCATTAGGGTGTAATGATATAGGGAGAATGCTGCAGAAATACCACTTGACCCCCAGAGGGCGCAGGGTGGGAAGAAGCATTTAATTCCTCAGAATGGCACTATCTCCACACCAGAGAAGCTAAAGAGAATATGTAAGGAGACATAAGGCTACCTTAGAGAACTTTTGATAAGCGATGCTAATAGGCACGCAGCTGTAAACAGTTAACTCTCCCTGGGTTTTGAAGTGTAATGATTTACTCAAATTGCAGAAACCTCCTATTGTATTTCTGCCTTACTTACCTAAATAAAGTGTGTGAGAGAACAGGGGGAGAGATGTAAGGGGCAAAGAAGGGGAGAAGAGAGGAGAGACAGAGAAAGAGACCTAAAATGCTTCAGACTTTAATCCTTGTTAAAAAAACAAAACAAAACAAAAAACACAAGAATACTGCTTGAAGTCCATGAACTTGGCTAAATTATGCACTGAATTCACAGTTCTAAATGTCATGCCAAAGGCTAATGCTGTTGATTTTCCTTCAAGACAGGAAACAAAATCCAAGCACGAAATCCTCCTCTGCTCTCCCTACTATTTCAGACACATTTTACTTATCACTTAGATGTTTACTTATCATTTACATCCCTACATCACTAACACTTACCTTCTCTTCTTCCTTCCACAGTCTATGGAAGTGTTTCACATGAAAACAGCACGATATCCACTATGAAGAATTTCCCACAGATTTCATTGCCACAAGAATGTCATTCCTTTATTGAAATTAAATTATAAACACACACAATGGACAACTGCTCCTCAAAAGAGGAAGGTAAATATTGACCACTGTTTGGACAAAACTATCTTTAAAGGAAAGGCGCGAGAAGGTTCCACAGTTCGGAGTATACATCTATGAAGTCAGGCTTGTCTATATGTGTGGATCTGCAGGTGCAAGGTTTTGGATGAGGAGGCTCAAGAATGTCTCCAGATGCTTCCTCGATCTGTATGCAATCAGTCCTCCTTTGTTCGCCCACCTGTCTACTCCTATAGCGCCTTCATTCTGCACGTGGTACACCAGCTGTGGCAAATCAAGCCCTGTCTCTGGGTTTCTTCCTAAGCATTCTTTTAAGTCTACCATTCCCCCACCCATGGCCCTCAGTATGGCATGGGCAGCACACGAGTCCCACTTGAACGTGGTATCTTCTGAAAAGATGTAAATGTCAACAAGGCCTTGGACAACACAGAGGCTCTTGTATCCGGCCCCAGCTGCCCGGAATATGCCATCTCCACAGACGCGTGTCAGTGCCGCTTTGATGTTCTCCTTTTCGCTGGTGCTGATGACAGCTGAGAAGCGGTGGGAGGACTCGGCGTCTGAGCTGCTGTTTCGGGTCGCCCTGCTCGGCGCTCCGCTAGTGTTTCTTTTAGAGACGGGAGACTGAAGCGAATAGACATTGGTCCCCTTATAAGAAAGGCCCCAGTAGCACTGTCCTGCCCACCTGTGGAAAAGAAGGTTCAGTTTATAGAGGTAGGTGGTTTATTTGTTTTACTCTTGTGGCTTCAAGACAATAAAAATATATAGACATAGCATGTATTGAGCTGTCATGCCCTGACGCCTAGGAATAGGTATCAAGCAGCTAATTCATTTCTAAAAGTTATTCATATCTCTGCAGCTGCCTGTGTACGTGCAGATAAGGAGTGCTGTCCATTTTACAGCATTATCACATAAATCGAGAACACCATTAAAACATTTGTGGGATGCCGGCCTCCGGGAACATCGATAAAAACCATTAGCTCTTTTGGCATGCAAAGCTTACAGGGGAAAAAAAAGACAGCTTTCTTTGTAATCTGCAAGTCTTTTAAAATCCTTATATTTTTTGCTCATTTGATAGCTTTGTTTTTTTTGTTTGTTTGTTTGTTTGTTTTTTTTAAGATTTATTTATGCATATAGAACTGGGGTATAGGTCCAAGATACAGGGGCTGTGATAGGATTCCCCAGAGACAGATTAGGGAGCAGAACAAGCCGACTGATGAAGTACACTGCTGAGGGGAGCAATGGGCAAGACAGGAGAGGTCTGACGCGCCATGTGGGTCACCTCTGGGGCAGGGATCAAACTTATGCTGAAGTGGCTTTAGTTCCTTTAACCCACTGCACCACCAGGGAGGATGCTGGTAGCTGTTTTTTACTTTCCTCTTTGCTAGCTCTGCTTTGTCTTTAACTGCCAGAGCCCATCTTTGGCAATAGCAACCATAATAACACTGTTCATCAGAGTTTAACTGCTACATATGTTGGATAATTTACTCTCCAGGAAACTAAGACTTAGAAAACCTTGGCCATATCTGCTAGTCCTTTCATTGGGTTATTTTCACATTTTGTTTTGAGTTTCTCCTAAAATTGTACAAAAGTTCAACTGACTATATAGTGATGGCATCTATCTTGTACCAGCTGTAATTAAAGATGGTGTTGACACATTCTAATACATTGGCTTCGGAGGGATTCTAAAAAATGGGGAACAAGATTGCTAAATTTCAAATGCAGAACTCTGATTTCACCAGGAGAGATTTCTTCTAAAAGTTTCTACTAGCATGCATCTAGCCTTAAATGAAATTTTGCAAAATCTAGGGCTAGATATAGAAGTAACTTTAATTCAGACATACAGACTTGTAGTACGAATACTCTATGTGGAATCACTGAATGTCATGTGGAGTGACAGTCCTGGCAATCAGCAGAGCTGAGGTCATGAACTCCAACCACGAGATACCAAAAATGTCATCTTTTACCTGAGGGTGTTTGGGTCTTGTGATACGAAAGGTTGGTTGATGACTCCCATCAGAGGCACACCTGTCTGTAGTTCATAGACTCCAATTAAAATGGTGACACATTGGAGTCCACTGGGGAAGATTCCTTGGTTGGATTTAATGTCAGCAGAACCTTTTATATACTGATATGTTGAATCTAAAAAATAGAGCAAATTTGTTTGTATTCAGGTAATGTTTAGTTAAAAGATGATGAATACATCTATAAATTGTCCTATAATTACTTCTGTCATTTACTAATTTACTATGGTCTGATTACTGTTTTCCCCATCACCCCCAAGTTTTTCCTCTTCAACTCCACCCCCCCCCCACACACACACATACACACATGATGCTATTAGTAAGAGTGACCTCTGGTAGATACTTTATGCATGGGAGGGAACGCGCATAAATGAAGCTAGTGCCTTATAAAAGAGGTTCCAGAAAATCCCTAGGCCCTTCAACCAAGCGAGAACACAGCCAATGTTGTTTTAGAAGCAATGCTTCTAAACCTGGAAGAAATCCCTCACCTACTCATTTTGGTAACTTGATCTTGGATTTCCCAGCCTCCAGAACTGTGGGAAATAAATTTCTGTTGTTTATGCATCACAAGTCTGGGACATTTTATTATAGAAGCTTTATGGACTACGATAGTGACCAAGCAGGTTTTATCTTTGGGGCTTAGTATAACAAATTGTTATTTGACTGCTTGTACTTCACATTGAAGCTGCTAGTATTTCATTTTCCTGATTATATGGGAACTCTTGAAGGGAGAGGACATGTTTGCCATTCCAGTAGCATCTAGCATCACATCTTACAGATAATTAGCACTCAAATATTCACCACATGTCAAGAGTGTCTAAGGACCCAAGATAACTGGTAAGATTCTTTAGATCTCTTACTTATCAGAGGACAAGTCCAAAGTGGGTGGAAAAGTTTTTTTCCAGAAATGTGTCAGGACTTGATTACTTTTTTGTCCCTTCTGATAAGGAGGAAAGAAACAATGATGGCAGCACAAGAAGAATAAATTGAGTGGTGTTCTTGTGACAAAAAAAAAAGCCATGGAGCAAGGCTTTTCCCTCAGTGATGACTACAGACATATAGTGACTTAGTACTCAGTTAACCAAGTGCCAGGCCAAAGTTGTGTGGTTGACAGAAATCATTTCAGGATAGAAACAACAAAGAGATCTCTCTGTTCCTCAAAATTTACCTGATTTTGATTTAAGTGATAAAAATTTGAGGAAAGATTCTTATTTTGTATATGTAACCCATGGGTTGAATGTTCCAGTGATCTCTGATTTATGGCACTTCTTTAACATTGTGTTAATGTGTTTGCAGTGGGGAGGAGTCTGCCTATTCAGTGTAAGGAATGGCCCATGTATTGGGCAGAAAATATAAGGCAGATGGGAAAGAAAATAGAAAAAAAATGTTTGAAAAGTAATACCTAAAGCATTGTGTTAATTGCACTGTTGAGATGAGGCTTACACTTTTAAAACCATGAGCTACAGTTTATGGTTCTACCATAATGTTGAATTTTAATGATATAATAACACTAATAATGGTGAGTTTTTACACAGGGCTCACAAACTCATTAATGAGACACATGCAGGCTATTTTGCGTGACCTGGTTGGTGGTTTTGATTGTTTGCTCGGTGACTGAATTAGTAGCCAGAGGTTAACAACTAGGAGATCTCATTTTTAAAAACCTATATTCTGGCTTCTTAAAAAAAAAATCTCAACTTCTGGCCCTACTCCCATGTAGTAGCAATCTGCTGCAGCTGAGTACTTCTTCCTGGCATGTGCGCTCAATTAGTCCTAAGTGCCACCATTTCTTTTTTCGCTCGTATCTACCAGCCTGGCCCCTGGCGTCTTAAGGATGAGCTAATTTAGCTTTGTAGGTGTGCCTTGTCAGAGACTAGCTTCAACTTTTGAGGTGTCTGGAGGCAGCACAGGCAGGACCCTAAGATGGGAAGGCATCGGCGAGCAGAGATTCCAAAAGGGGAGACAGGAGCAGGTGCGAGGAAGACACGGGAGTCAGGATAGGGTGCAAGTCTTCCTGCTATCCCTTCAGCAGGTCTTTATACTGTGTAGCAAGTAGTTAATTGTAATAATGCATAGGGCAAGTTAATGAGATATCTCCATAAAACATTCTCAAGACAAGGGGAAAAAGCATTCTTGTCTTAACAATTTATGGTATAATAGATTATACGTTTTGTGATAGTTATCATGTATACAGCTGTCTAGTTATCACTCAAAGGAAGAGGGGTCTGGGAAAGGGTGAGCTTGTTAGCAAAAGGTTGTTAGGGTCTTGGGATAGTAATAAATTGTGTTAGCAGTGTTGTCAGTGATTGTCTAAAGAAAAGCTAGTGGCTAATTTAAGGCTAGCAGAGAGTAGTTAGTGCTTGTTTTAAAAAGGAGTAAATTAAGAGAAAGTTGTACAGTTGTATATCAAACAACACCTGCGTAGTCAAGGTTAAAATTTGTCCATTATGCCCTGGGAGCCTTATCTGAGGTTTGATTTTTTATTTAAAGAAACCAAGGAAGCTTCCCAGGAGTTTTTATGTCCTGGGGTCTTATTTCTCCTGGGGCTTGCCTTTTGTCTCAAGAGACAGAGGAATTTCTCCTCCTGGGGCAGCTTGCCTGTGTGGCTAAGACAACCCAGTTATAAACTGAACGTTGCTCAGAATATTTTGATATTATGTTTATACAAAAAAGGGAGGTCATAACATAAGTTTAGCAGTGGACAGTCTGATTTTTCAGAACTTAGCCCGATCCACCCGGAATCTGTCAGACGATGGACGTTGCATAGCTTGTGTCAGTTCCTGATTATGGATATGTGTTCATTTGCTCACATATACACCCACTATAGCTATGCATCCATCAATAACAACAGCCTAAAACACACATCTCAATTCTTCATTTAACAATCAATTTTTGAAAGTTTTTCCAGGACAGTTAAACAATATTCTAAGGAATTTTTACTTTTGCATTCCCTAACATAAGGACTACTGATAAGAACAAACAAACAAAATACATTCTCTTATATTCACCTATCGGATCCACCCAGATTCCCAAAATGTCCTGTGGAATGTTGATTTCTATGGAATCCAGAGTTGGGTCAGTGTAGGCAACGTCCTGATGAACGACCTTGGCTAAAGCTTCAGAAGCCACCTTGTTACCATTGAGGACCTTGCTAAGAAGCGCCACAGTTTCTTCCTCTGTTGGACACAGCCTCAAGATAACCTTTTCCCCTAAAATAAAGACAAACTGAGATTTATTACATTTCAAGTGTTTTGGGGAGAAATACCTAGAGGGGGGTAGGGCAGCAAACACTGTACAAAGTTTATCTGTACCTGAATGTTATTGAAAATAGTAAGATTTATCAGCACATGGAAGTGCTTTTACCTCCTCTCATTCTGCTTTCAACTGAAAATTTCTACTTAGTATGGTAAAATAAAAAGATGAACCCTACCTTCAAATACAGTCAAACTGTTTGACTCTAAATGATGTGTACACAAACAGCTCTTCTCTGAACTTGATAGCTATCAGGACATCGGCAAAGCAGCTTCTCCAAGTAAAGCCACAATTTACCAAGTCCAGGTGTTTAAACATCACTTTAGCCATGCTGCTTAGAACCTTTGTCAATCTGGTTTCTGGTCCCCAACACAAGTGAGAAAAAGGATAACAAAAAATGGCAAACTAAGAACAACTAAAAGTGATAGAAAATACAAACTGTTTAAATTAAGAAAGCATGCCACTTTGGGGCACACACTTGCTCTTTACCCCAAGGACCAGTAGCATCTGCCTATGTCAGAGCTTGTTAAGGATTCAGAACTCCCAGCCCCATCCAGACCTGGGTTTTAACAAGTGCTGCAAGTAATTCAGATGATTCTTAAAGCTTGAGGAGAATGTGAATCTATTGCCAGGATAACTCTGAACCTGTCCATGTTTAAACTTTACTGTTTTACTACTTAACACAAACCCAAACTAAAAATAATTTTTTCTCTGAAAAGAATCTGAAAGATTTTGATATTTTTTTTTTCTGTATCACAGGGAACATGGAAGTCCACCAAAAAAAGAGAATTTATCCCATAGGAAATTGATTAAATAAGACTTAAAATTTAGTATTAAAAGGAAACTTTTAGTTATTAGCACAAGTCCCTTTACAGAGGTTTTGAATCCAGAAGTGATAAGGTGATTTGCTCAAGATCACACAGTATTTCAGCAAAAGAACCTCCTCCACATTCTCAGCCAAAGCCCATGGACTCCTGAGGGGGCAGGATCAAGACCTTGGTCCTGAAATTGTACAATTATAAAGACATGAAGCTTTCTGGGGCATCTATAATATGTTAGACTCCTAAAAGGCTCTTCTCAAAGGCTACTATATATATTATTTAAATGCGACTAATTTACATCTAAAATAATACATGTAGGCTTGTTACATATCTCTAAGACATGTCATCTCTCTAACATAATTTTGAGGTATTGAATAAAGTTCAATGTTCAAATATGTTATGTTGTTTATATGAAAGGCTTCCAAACATCCATTTGAAAATTAGAATACCATATAACCAAATTACAAAAATATATTAAGATTCTTTAACTTACCCAAGTCATTAGTAAACTCATTGGATTCTTCCCCAAAAATTTTGTTCCCCAAACCTGGAAACTGAATGATTCACAATGTGACAAAAACAGCAACAAAGCCCTAGCTAGATATTCATTCTAAACAGACTTCCATTTATATTTCAAATAGCACAATTAGACTGAAATACAGAAATTTGCAGTTCTAGAAATTAATTCAAAGCTAACAATCAAGTCATTTTTTGTTCCCTGTTCTTTCCTGTTATTTTCCCTGCTGGTATGCCCCTCTAGAAAGTTCAAATCATGACAGGGGTCCAGTTGTCTTATGTCCTATTGAATCGAAAATGTACTTCTAGTTTCCTCATCTTTCTGTTGACACTAAGGAGTCACAGAGCTAGAATTTTGGCATTCTAGATCCTTTTTAAAAAGATTTATTTATGCATACAGAATTAGGGTACAGGCCAGAGGTGCAGAGACAGTGAAAGCATTCGCCAGAGACAGAGTGGGGAGCAGACCAGGCAGATGGACAAAGTATACTGCTGAGATGAGCAGCAGGCGGGTTAGGAGAGGTCTGCCCGGCAATGTGGATCACCTCCAGGGCAGGGATGGAACTCATGTTGAAGTGGCTTTAGCTTCTTAGTGCTGTGCATTAACCTGCTGTGCCACCAGGGAGTGTTCGGCATTCTAGATATTTTAACGTGGTATATACTTAGTACCCTAGTAGCTAGTACAAGTTAATACTAATGATCATGTACTTAAATTTATTACTTCAGACTAGAGAGAAGGAATTAGATAATATTAGATTTTGTTTCCATTATCACTAGTCTTCAGGTTAGGGAGGTGATACAGAAAAACAAAAGAGGAGATATTTTATTGACTAATAATTTATAGATCAATATTAAATGAAAAAGTAGAACCAAAAATCTTCTTTTACCTTTGCATGACCAGCTATATTTTGCTTCTGATTCTCTCTATAGTAAAAATATTTTTTCTATGTATAATATTCTCAAAGAACAAAAGCAAGGAAATGCTTCAAATATTTGAGGGCCATTAGCTTTAATAATGCTGGCAACTATTTGTTCTTTTTCTCTTTTACAAAACCATTCAAGTCAACAAGGACTGATACAAGCTTATGTAACAGACTGAAGCTCAGTCTGAGGCTACAGGATGGAAGGGCATGAAACAAAGATATTTTATAACCACAAACTGACTACTTTTTATCTGTTCATAAATCTTGGCATATTAGTGTGAATGAGTAATTGCCTGAATTTGTTATAGTGCTTTATGGCAAATACTAACCCATAAAAATTAATGTTGATACATTTCTAATTCAGCTGCTTATCCATCCGTTGAATCCAAACATCATCATAAGTAACAAAAATAAACTTATTCCATTGATTTATGGAAACTTGGCATTATAGAACATTAAAAATATATAGTTTGTAGAGATTTCAAGATATCATTTGTTCTCTTCCTGCCTGCAATCAAGATTATGCTTAAAACATTCTAAATAATTCTCAGTATTTTGTAGAAACTACTTTCCAGTATTTTATAGTGCTCCTCCTATCCCCCCAAGTCTGAAGAGAATGTAGTTATTACATTATTATATAAAAGGCAGTATAATATTGCAAAGAGCACAGAAGACGACTGGTCTGACAAAAACTGACCCTGCCGTTCACTCGCTGTGCAACCTTTGGGAAGTGACTTAATCTCTCTGTGCTTTCTTTTTCTCACCATTACACTGCAGTAGTAATTCTTACCTCAAAAATTGTTGTGAGTTAAATAAACTATCTCTGGCTCACTTATATGTGACTTTTAGTGTTACTGTTTATTATTACTTATTATGAACAGCATTTTTTCCCTGTCAGCTTAAGGTACCTAGAATCATTGTTAGTAATAAAGTGTTCTACTATAACAATGGAGAACTTTAGGGCTTTGACACTCTACAAACCTGTAACCCAGTTAAGTATTTAATAAATGAGCACAAAAAGATGTGACTTAATAGTCCAGTTAAAAAAAAAAACAGTATGTTCTCATTTCTGTTGAAATAAATTATACATGTTAATACATACACTCAGAGTATGAAAACATTCTGATAATATTTAGCAAAATGTAGCTGTGATTTTCTCTAGTGATGGGAGGAGGATTTTTATGTTGCTTTATTTTTCAGAAAACAAGTATTAAATGAAAAATTCTGTACTGGCTATTTCAAATGCTTCTCTCTAGCAGTTAGATATGTGAGCTATTTCCTTACCTGCTTTTCTGTATTTGTTTTTTCCTGTGGTGAATATTTTAGTAATACAGTTCAAGTAAAGGAGAAATCCTAAGTTGTTAATGAATCTAAGGTCTGAGCGTTTGGAAGGAGGAAAAAGAAAAAGGCACACTCTTCTGTCAGTGGGAGAAAACTATAGGAGCAAACCGCTTGGCTGTGACCTTTCTTACCTTGTTCTCCATATTCTGTTTTATAACTTCCTGCACCAGTACATCAGCCAGGGTCTTGAAATCAACTGTGAATTTCTTGTTCTTTTCTCCCTCTTTCTTCTCCTCTATGAGCAACTGGAAGAGGGCTTCCTGCTGTCTGCATGCCCGGGCAATGTTGGCAGCTCTCTCAGAAACACAGAGCAGCTCTCGAAGGATATCTGACATCTCGGGACCTTGCTTTTCAGTTACAGCTGCTAGTGGAAAGGGAGGCACCCACCCTCTGGGCGTCAGCTGGAAAAGTACAAGAATGTGAAAGAGAAAGCAGTTCAGAGAGTGATGTCAGGGTGCCTCCAGCACTACTCACAACCCATCTGGCACTCAAATTGGTCAGCCTGGTTGAACAGCTAGTATATATCACGGCCACATCCTCAGTGTGGAAGAAAGACTATTGAAAATTTGAAAGTTACAAAAGTATCTTCAAAAATACTTGGGGTCTCAAAATCCATTATACCAAGAACTGGATTCTCAGTGAAGGAAAACACTTGAAAGAGAATATATTATTTAAAAAAAAAAAATCCCCAGACAGGCAAGCAGATGGACACATGGCACAATGCTAAAGAAAAGCCAAATTCTTGCATTGACCTTAGAATGTATGATCACTGGCTGAGTGGCAGTACTGAATCACTGCTCTTTTTTCCATCCGGGAGGGGAAAGGGTAAAAGTGAGAAAGGATTTACTCTATCAATCCTGGGCCAACTTTCCACAGAAAACACCACCACACCAGCAATTCTGTTATGCCCTGCAAGTGTCTGAGGCAACTTGTGGGCCAGCAGCCCAAGTGATCTGCCAGCCACTCTATCCCCTAAAAAAAGTCCCACTACGTGTGTTGCTGTTCTACCAAGTAATGTTTAAATAATAAAATGCTGTAGAATATCAACTTGTTGGGGTTTGGAAAAGTCCCAGTGTTACACCATCATACCATGATATACATTTTCAGTCTCCCTTGCTTCTGATATTTTAAAAATAGTACCAACATTTTATGGAAAGCTTTAATAATCCTTCTCTTAGTATCATGAAGAATATCAGGCTTGTTTTATAGTCAAGGGAGCTGAAGCTTAGGGAAATTAAGTAACTTCTTCACGGTTACACAAGACCAAACGGCAGGACTCAGGATGGGTCTTACCCAGAAACCGATGATCTTTATTACCATATTTTACAGTACTTCTCTTTAAAAAGTTCCCCTTCATGGACTCTGGGAGGCTGAGCTAGTACATCTTTAAAGATGTAAACACAATGGAGTTATTTGTGAATTGTCATAGTTGGTTTGTCTAAAACAAATTTGTTAAATAATATCTTAAGATTTATGGATGAACCATAATCAACTAGGGTCTTGAAATCAACTGGGATAGTATGTTCAACCTCAAAAGTAATCAAGGGGGAGTGATTAAAAACAAATCATCCTACTTCACTATTAGAGAAGGTTGTTTTGTAGGGCTTAGTGAAGCAATATTGCATTATAACATTGTGTGTCAGGTGTGAATCATTATAAGCCAACATGTGTATATGCTATATTAAGCTACCTGCTAAAATTACCTATCCCTCATTATGCTGTTGGCCTTTTCTCCAAATTTATCTATACCTCCTCCCTACTTCCATTCTGGTTATCACTAATTTGGAATTCTAGTGTAAATATTGTTTCAGCTTTATTTAGTTCGCTCATTTGTTTTGCTTTTTTAGATACCATGTTTATGTATGAGTGAAAGCATACAGTGTTTGTAATTCTCCATTTGGCTTGTTTCATTAAACATAATACCCTCTAGGTCCATTCATGTTTTAGAAATAGGATGTCATAAATTTTTGTAGCTGGAAAGTATTCCATTGTGTATATATGCCACGTCTTCTTTATCAATCATCTGTCGATGAGCACTTAGGTGAAACATATGCTCATACTCTTTTAACAGGTGTGTAAGCAAAAGGGGGTTTCTAAGGATGAGTCAAGAAAATATATTAAGATTCCAAGAGATGTCACCACCATTTAGCTAGTAACTTTAGCCTTGCTTTAATTTGTATTATGAAAGTCAGGGCTGTGGCCCTCCCTGGAGGCGCAGCGGGTTAGGACGCAGTACTGCAAGCTGGCCACAGCTGCCTCAGCAGTGTGAGTTTGACCCCTGGCCCCGGAGGTGATCTACTTGGCACGGCAGACCTCTCCTGACCTGCCTGCTGCTCTCCTCGGCAGTGTACTTCATGGATCTGCCTGTTCTGCTCCCCACTCTGTCTCTGGTGAAGCCTCTCACTACCCCTGCACCTCTGGCCTGTACCCCAGTTCTGTATGAATAAATAAATCTTTTAAAAAAGTCAGAGTTGTGTGAAAATATTTCTTCACAAGAAGAATTAATGTTATTTATAATAGCGAGAAGTTGAAAATAATTTCAAACACTAAAATGTAATATAGACTACTATGTGGTCATTAAAATCATGTTTTTCATCACCTCTTATCAGACAAATGCAAATAAAAACAATGACAATGCATCCCAACCCTGCGAAAATGGCTGTTACCCAAAAGAGAAGAAACAAGAAAGAAACTTTATATATTGTTGGTGGGATGTAAATTGGTGCCACAATTATGGGTGCAGTATGGAGATTACACAGAGTAAAAACAAATTCTATACAAACCAGTTAGTCCAATTGTGGATATTTATCCCCCAAATACAAAAATTAATTAAAGATGTATATGCACCCTCCATGTTCACTGCAGGACTATTTACAATAGTCAAGGACAGTAAACAACCTAAGTGTCTACTGACTACTGGAGAAAGAGGATGTGATACAAATACACAGTGGAATACTATCCAGCTATAAAAAGGAATGAAATGCTTCCATTCACAATCACATGAATGGACCTAGAGGTTATCATTCTTAGTGAGTAGGTCAGGCAGAAAGACAAACATTATGTGATTCTATTTATACTATGAATATACAAAAACAAACAGATGAATTAATGAAACAAATACAAACTTCTGGACTACAAGACCAATTAATAATTACCAAAAGGAAAGGGGAGAACATGGTTGGGAAATCAGGAAAATGGAACAGTAGTATAGTAAAGGACAGAATGGTGAACTTAATTTGGTATATGTATGCTCTCAATAATGAATACCTGAAATTTATATAATGTTATAATGCAATGTTACTTCAAACACATAAAAATTATTTTTTGAAGAATATTTAATGTGAAATATGTTAATGCCAAAATGTCAGGTGGGAAAACTCCCTATGACAATATATATTGCATAATATAAAACTAATTTGTGTTAAAATATAACACAAATAGATGTATATATTATGGTTTATATACAATGTATACAAATATATAAATTATATATAAACTATGTACATTATATAGATGGATAGAGAATGATCGAAAGGCTAGTAGGTAATGTTTCAATGATAAACAGGTATTTAAAGGTAATTATTACTGAGTACTGGAATTGTGGGTATTATTTCATTATGCTTTTCTAAAATTCTCAAATGTTCTACAAAAATATTACTTTAGAACTAGAAGTGACATTTTAAAATATCGTGGGATAATTAAGCAAATATCACTCAATCCTGAAAACAGCTGCCCAAAGTGGTACACATGTAGCTAAGAATGGTATAGATAATCAAGTCAAAAGTGGAAACACCTGCCTAAATGCTTTTTCTTTCAGGAATGAATGATACAGTCAAAGATTCAGTTTGATTGCATTGAACCTAAACACTAAGAACAGTTATAGTAGTAAAGCTGAAGGAATTTTACTTAGAAATAACTTATGACATCTATATTCTATAAATTACATATAATATACACAAATAGGTGCATGTATTTTTTTGTATAAAGCACAAACTTCAAAAGTATATATTTGATTTTTCAATTTCTTAGCTAATTTTCTGAGATTATTATAATTGAAGGGCAAAGAATTAATGAATGAACCCGTAGTATCTAATAGCTTTTTATCTTAAAAACAGCATGAAGATTTAAGGATTTCAAAGTTTTCTAGATAATGATTACTACATTTTTCTAAAAACCAATCAAATTTTATTCCTTGAGCACAGCAACGTAACCACAGAGAAAGAAGTATCAGCTCTAAACTGCTGCTCTAAACTAATTAACAGGGATACAGATTTTAGAAATTCACCACAACAAAAATCAGATTTTTCAGTTTCAAAGTTTTCCAGAGTTCAACCATAAATACCCTTTATTCTGACCTTTGGAAACAATGTTGGGTTTTGTCAAACCCCAGGTTGACCATCCAAGTTGAGTTTAGGACTAAGCTTTCTCCAGCCACTCTAACAGAATCCAGCATGTCAACTATTTACCTACCCGCCCCCCCCCCCCCCCGCCCCAGGTTCCTCATTCCCTAAAACAATCTCTCTCAGCTGTCACCATCTACAAACAAGACTTTCTAGTTAAGCTATACACCTAGAAGGTGGTTTTCCAGCTGAAGAGACTGTTCAGGACAATTCCTCCTAATTAATCAAATTACTGTCCTCTCTGTAGCCGTTTCTTTTCCTCCATCTGTTCTCAATTCATTTCACTCAGCCACAACCCTGAGGGAGTGAGGGAGTACTAGACAATTTATCATTTTAAGTGACTCACCTTGAAATAACTCGTCTATGGGGAAACCAGGGTACATGCAACGTCGCATTCTTCAGATTTATCAGTAGCTCTTAAAGATAATTATCTTTCAGATTATTTCCATAACTATTCATACACTCATTACTATACCTAAGTTAATTTTATTTAAACATTTCAAATGCTTTAAATGAGAATTATTATAGAATCACAATTAGTATGTTTTGACATGGAGCATAAAACAATCTTGAATGTGGAGGAAATTCCTTTTAATTAGTATTGCTTAGTAGACCTTCTGAAAACCACCTATCTCCAATTACCCAAGGTGCCTACTAGATTCCTGGGCTCCATCCCAACTTATTTAATCAAAACCCCTGGTGACAGGGCCCATAAATCTGTTTTTGTTATCCTAGAAAATAACTGAACGCTGAGATTTAACAGCTGCTATTCTTCAAGATGATTACTCTTCTGTAATACTGTGCTGGCAGTTTCAGTGGGACTGGCATTGGTGGCAGATATTTTGGTGAAATATGTAGATGCAGTAGTTCTGGATCAGTTAACCTGCTGATAGCAAAAGCTAACAATATTAGGTGATGACCATACGCCAGGTGTCCTTGTAAGTGCCATACAGATATTAAATTTGATAATATAATCATCATGCTATCCTATGAAGTAAATG